TCAACTCTTCTTTCAAGTTCACGATTCACGTTGTTGTATTTTGTGAACTTTGTTATTTCGCGATATTGTTTAGTGTTGCCGTTTTTTTTTATCCGGATATTTTGTGTATAAAGTAAGAATATTTTAAATTTCAGCGCTTTTTAATACAATGACAGATAAGAAACGCACTCATGATTTTACTGCTTGCAACATTGAAAAACGTAAACACATTGCATTGAAGGTAATGCAGAAAGTGGAAATTCTGCAAAAGATGGAGGCAGATGCTACTCCTTGCTTTATAACAGAATCATATGGAATAGTGGCATGGACAGTGTATGATATATGGAAAAATAAAGAAAAACTGTTAAAATTTTACAGCAACAGTGATTGTAACACTGGAATCCGAAACCGGAAATCTTTGCATGAGGCGAAATTGGCAAACCTTGATGCTTTCTTGTACAAGTGGTTCCTGCAGCGGCGAAGTTATCGGGTAATGATTTCAGGACCGTTCCTGAGAGAAAAGGGGAAGCAGATTCATGCTGATTTAAAAATAGAGGAGCCGTGCAATTTTAGCAGCAGTTGGCTGAACAGATTTAAACAGAGACACGGTATACATTATCTGAAAGCAAGTGGGGAAAAACTTTCAGCAGATAAAGATGCTTCAGAGAAATTTTATTGATGAATTTTCTGTGTTAGTGGCAGAAGAAAATCTTAGCCCAGAACAGGTTTTTAATATGGATGAGACTGGACTTTTTTGTCGATGTTTGCCAAGAAAGACATTTGTGACAAGCGAAGAAAGTGCACCATCAGGGGTGAAAGAGATGCTAAAGAAAGAGTTACCATTTTGTATGCAGGAATGCTGCTGGAACTCACAAATGTAAACCAGTGGTAGTGGGTAAGAGTACCAATCTTAAAGCTCTGAAAGGAGTAAAATCCTTATCTGTGATTTACAAGAGTAATAAAAATTCCTGGTTCAAAAAACAACTTATGACTGAATGGTTCATGGAGCATTTCATTAAAGAGATTAGGAGGCATTGTAACAGTTTGGGGTTACCATCAAATTGCAAGATTTTACTATTGTTAGACAATTGCTCTGCACATCCAGATGCAACTATTTTAATGTGGGATAATGTCATGGCCTTTTTTTGTCCCCAAATAGTACATCATTAATCCAATCAATGACAAATAAGAAACTATAAATGCCACTATAAACCACTATATAATGCCACTATAAACCAGAGTTTCGGAAAAACATTCTTTCAAGTGACCATTCTATTGAACTTTGTGATTATATAAAAAAATTCACCATCAAAGACTGCATTTATTTGTTAGCTGAATCATGGAATTCTGTTTCCCAAACAACATTAGTAAATGCCTGGCATAATGTATGGCCATCTTCTTTGTTTATTGAAACTGAGAGTGATGACAGTGATTTTTCTGGTTTTAGGGTCAGTGCAGCAAGGGTTAAAGCAAGAGAATTGCTTTTATTTTTGAAAGAAAAAATAAACGAGAAGGCTTTGCAAGAAGGAGATATTGTTGAATGGATGATGTGTTCAGATGAGCCAATGCTGTCATATCAGATGACTGATGATAAAATCATTGGCTCTGTTTTGAACTCTTCATAACAAGAAGACAATTCTGACACCGACAGATAGTGCATTTGATAGAAGTGAGAAAATATCTTTTAATGAGGGTCTGGAACTGTGAAAAATGCCTAAAATTTTTAGAACAACAAAGCTGTGTCATAGAGCAAGAGATTAGGACTCTATATAATTTACACACACACACACACAAAAACGCAAAAAAAAAAAAAAAAAAAAAAAAAAAAAACAACTTACTCTGGAATACCCTAAAGTTTTAAAAACAAACCTCCATCAAAAAAAATGTTTGGAACATGTAGAAAAAATGAAATACTTTATGCTTTATTACTATCCCTTATTTTTATGTCTATTGAATACATCCCTAATGCTTTTAAATATCCCTGTAAGCACTAATGTAAATGAATACTAATATAATATAATCAGTTTATATATGTAATAATAATTATTGTAATAATAATAAATTATTGTAATAATGTATAATAATTTAATTAAATCTATCTAATATCCTTATTTATTTTGCACTTTTAGTCTGAATATTATGATTTATCTTTTCTGCCCTGAAATCCTCAAAATCCTAAAATCCGCACAACCTTTGGTCCGAAGCTTTGCAGATTTCTGGGATTCTACTGTACTACTTTAAACTTTATAAGATTACCAACAAAGATGCTTTGCTTCAGAATTGAGTTAACGTAACAAATTATTTTATAGATATTCATGCTGCTCTATATTTAGTCCCTATTGCCGTACATGCAGCTAAAATGCTGGAAAATATTGAAAAGCAAAGTAAAAAAATATAAATCCAAAATATTTTTATTATACAGTAAAAGCTTGACTATTCAAAAGCTCGAAAAATGCCAAATTTTAGATAGTTTAGTACATAAAAAATGGATTTACGTTAGAAAAGCTTAATGAATGGTGGAAATTTCTGCTATAAAAATATAAGAACAATTATCTTATTTGTTACCAATTTTAATATTAAAAGCCTGCATTTAAAATTATGCAGGATCCTGCAGTGAACCAGGGCATTTTAAAAGTACAATTGTTCATTTCCTGCTCATGAGAGAGTAGGGGGTTTTGGATTATTTTTTGAAATTTAATGCCATTTGTTAAACGTGGAGCAGTGATTGAATTTACATAGTGCTTTCTGTGTAAAATCATTTTATAAAAATGATACTGTGAGACTTTATTGATACTGGAATGATGAAAATCCAGGGGAGTTGCATCAAAGCCCTTACATAGTCCGAACGTTACGATGTGGTGTTCACTTTGATCATTTGGATTACTGGGCCATATTTTTTTTTCCAAAACGCTAGAGGAAATGCTACAACTGTTAATGCAGACTGTTACACACACATGGTCAGAACATTTTTTATTCCCTAAGTTTCCGGAAATTAATTTTTCCGAGCAGAATTGGACCACATGTCACACTGCTTGTGTATTCATGGCTGCTTTAAGAGTACTTTTCCTGAGTGGACTCGTATCCAAGCATGGTGACATGTCATGGCCCTCAATATCACCAGATTTTTCCGCATGCGACTATTTTCTTTGAGGATTTCTGAAGTGTACATTGATATACTGCAAAACAAACTGGAATTAAAAACAAATATCTTACAAGAGACCTGCACGACTTCAACTTGACCTGCTCCTTGTAGTGACGGAAAATTTTTGGTCATGATTAGAAAAATGTGTACAGAGAAATGGCTCTTACTTGGACTGCATTTGTTTTAAAAAGTAAAACAATATTCTTTACTCAACTCAGATCTGGGGGGGGGGAATGTTAATTTTAAAATTTTATTATTTCACTGGCAGACCCTATATAAGATTTAAAAAAAAATTCAGACATAAAGCCTACAAAATATGTAAGCCTTAAACAGGAATGTAAAACATCTGATCTGACTATGAAATTTAGCCAAATATGAAAGTTGGCAGGTTGCCAATCATTTCAGACAAGTTTAAATGAAAAGATTGTTCTTTATTTACTTAGTTAATAGACAGATATGAATTACAGACTTAGCCTATAAAAAACTTAAACTGTGTATCATAAGCCCTTTTTTATCCATTTCCAAGGACAAGGTCATGTGTCATGACTTTTTTGATGCTAAGATCTTCTAACTTTGAAAATACTCCACTTCACACTGTCCCAAATATTAATTATGTTTTCAAAACACAAGAATAAAATAGAGCTAATATACATCTTTAAAAAAATTAAGATACTTTTCTGTTTCGCCGGCGCAAATCTCTCCAAGCAGACTTTATTGGCGACAACACATAGCATACACATATAATAAAATGTTAACAAATGTTGGTTCTAAGAATATTTTATTTTGAGGGCATAAACATTTTAATATCGTTTAAATTTTATAAAAAGCCAATAAATAAAGACAATAAATTTGTAAAAAGTCATTAATTTAAGAATTTACTATGCTTTCATGGTACAACGTCCTGATTCACGTGACCCCAAGTGATCTCATCTCACGTAAATTACGCTACAAAAATCTAATTCTCTCAGTAATTATCTACATTAATTTCAAGTTAAATCTTAATTTGGAATACAAGTTTAAATGCAAGAATTATTTCAATTCGTATGAATAGCTTACTCAGAAATTATGTAAAACCGCAGAGCTTTACTTCGCTAGTGCATTCTTATTAGATTTGATGAATTTAACCCTTGACTTTGCCTTTTCTATATTTTTGCCTTCGGGTGAGCGGTGTGATTGCACCCTAGTCGACTTAATTAGCTCGAATGGCCTTAGGGCACAAAACTGAACTCTCTGGTAAAAATTCTATGTAATTGTATGCTAGTAGTGAAAGAAACAATCAATTTGATAAGAAATGGCTGCGACTTGTTTTGAAATTAAGCGTAAAAGGTTACCAGCGAGGATATTCCGTTTGGCATCAGTTGTACCATTATTGGCGACTTTATCACCTGCGCCAGCAAAACGGAAAAGTACCAAAATTAAATTAGCTTATTAAGAATTTACTGAGTTTACATTAAGCCCAAGGAAACTTCTTTTGATAGTGCTGTTACATCATGCTTATATATTATTGGTGCCAAATCACACTTTGGTGACAACATATACAAGTTAATAAGTATTACTAGCTCCATAATGCCATCTCTCATTTCCTAAATTTTTCAGGGAAAAATTTTTCTAAAATTCTAAAATATTCTGATTACTTGAGCTTTCCAGTTAACTGAATGCAGGATAGTCAAATTTTTACCATCCTTTACATTTTATATGTTCACTGTAAAAGAAATTAATTCTGAAAAATTTTATTTTTAGTTTTGAATAATAAACTGTTTAAAATGTGTCATAAAACATCATATGTCAAATATGCATTATTTAGAATTTTTGCCTAATTTCTTCTGACATAACTATTCTCTAATATTGTTTTATTTTCATATTCTATTTATTTTTTTAGATTTTAGTTCAAGTTGCAGGAATTATTGTTTTAACTCTGTTGGTGAATGCAAATACGTTAAAGCTTATAATGAAATGGATAAGTATGTATGTCCTTTACAAGATATTGCTTTTAATAATCTAAAATAATTAAGTAAATTGCATAAATGATTAGTTTTCCTATTTAACTTAAAACAGAAATTGTATAATTAAAATATTAAAAGTATTACTATTAATTAAAATAAACATTTCATTAAAGATCTAGAAAATTCGGAACACAAATGTACTGTACATTAGAGTTCAGTGTGCTGTTAATGCTAGTCTACCCCCCTCTTGTTACTCAAAGTTATTGTTACAGCTGTCTGTCTATTGCCAAGTATGTAGAGGAAAAATTAGACTGATTATTTTTTATTTCCAAAGGTAGTTTTCTGTTTGACTTATATTAAATAATTGCTCCCCCCCCAAAAAAAACCCCCATTAAACTGTGATGATAGTTCTAAAATTAGAGAAGTGAATAATTTTAAAATATTTAAGGGAATCTAGGTCAGTGAAATTAGTCATCGTAAAATTTTCTTCCTAGTATTTGACACAATATTATATAGTGGTACTAATGCTGTGTTAAAGTTAATGTAAAAGAAGTTGGCATATCGGATTGTCTAAAACGTTTTGAGCCTTTGGAGGTCAAAATTGAGAATATATTTACTGTTATTTGAAATGAACATTAGGAAGACACATATGCTCCATTTTGTTTGGCGACCTGCCATTTTTCTGGCAGTAATAAATCGTATCCTCATGGAACATTTGCACCCAGATGGTTTAAAAAAAAAAAAAAAAAAAAAAAAAAAAAAAAAAAAAAATGTTGTTTATACAGGATTCATACTCAGGATGTAACATTAGCAACAGCAAAAACTAATTTTAAAGCAAATCTTTTGCCCTAAGTAATTAGTGTAGCTTTAAATGCATGAAAAGAATACATTTAAGGAAATAACAGTATCATATTCCTAAAAGGTTTTGTATTTTGTTTCTTGAGAAATTATGCATTTGTACCAGAAGTGTTCCTGCTTATGGAGGGCTATTTTTTTTCTTTTTGTGTATCTGGTAATAATAAGAAGTACTTCTCAATATGAAAATGCAATGAAAGTATTTTTTTTTTTTCATTTTTGTATTCTAGAATTCAAAGAAATAACATTGGTAAATCGATTATCTATGGGTAACGCTTTGTCTTCTGTAAAAGAAATTAAAGAAATGTCAATGAGAATATGCAAAAATGATTGGAAATACAGAAAGGCTGATTGGGCTTGCATTTATCATCACACTGTGGTTGATGATCCTTATAAAGGAGGCTTATATGTGAGTATTATTATTATTACTTCTCTTTCTTCTTCTACAGTAGTGACATTTTCCTATGAGAAAAACTACATTCATGTAATTTTTAAGATCAGAAAAATTTTTAATGAAGAATACAAAATAAACTATCTAACACTTCATGCTACTTTTGTATAGTCTTCTTTTATACATAGGTGAGATCAGGGCTGGATTAATGATTAAGCGATATAAGCACATGCTTAGGATGCAAAGGAAAGGGGCCACTACTAAAAGAAACTTAGATATTCAGGAAAGATGGCACCAAATATTTTAGCTATTACTGAAGGAGAGAAGGACTGAAGAAAAAACTGGTGTAAACATATGTGGGGGCAGCAAAATCTTAAGTGTCCAGGACCTCTAAAAGTCTTAATCCAGCCCTGGATGAGATGGTACTTTTCCATGAAAAGTATATATTTTTCCATTATAATTTTACCATGCCTTTTTTGTATAATTTAAAATCGTGAAAAGGGGTGCATACTGGCACTTCTTTGCCTTTCTTCATGCCTTTGGCTCAATACTAGATGCCCCCCTTTTTTTGGATTTTTTGCCATTTCTGCTAAATTTCTATTGCTGAAACTTTTGTGTCTGGATTTCTATTAATTTCACTCCTGAAATCCTCTTTAAAAAATGGCGAAACAGAAAATAAAAACAACTACAGTAAAGGAAATGTTTATATGTATTTCCTTTTTAAATGATTAAACAAAACTAAATTAAAATAAAAAAAATGGTAATTTATAAGCACCATATTAAAAGAAATAATCATCTGAGACTAAATGGCAGATATAAAATTAAAAATGGCATACAGCATAACTGAGTTTTTCTCCTTTGGAATGATAGCATGGCTAAGTTTTCTCCTTTGGAAAGCATATAATGCCACCTAAATTCAATGAAATCAAGAGTCTAAATATTGGAGAATAGTGCTTTTTTTGTATTGATTGTGCCATTTTGTGCTGTCATACAGCAGACTGCGTATAAAATCTAGTGTCTGTATTAACGAAATGATAAGAATGATATACTGTGAAATATCCCAAACAGCATTGAGGGTGAAAGAAATCTTATTATTTGATGAAAAACTTGAACATCTGAATGATGGGTATAAAAAAAAAATCTAGGAAAAAAGGTAAATTAAACTGGTAACATTTGGTGCTGAGGAAACACTAAAAAAAAAAAAAAAAAAAAAAAAAAAAGTGTTATGGCTTTAATGAAAAGTACTAATATAGTTTTAATGTAACTTAAATTTTAAGGCATTTTTTTCATTCTGGATAAAATTTAGCAGTGTAAGGTTTGTGTTCTTTATATATATGGAATTATTGTTTGAAATATCATAGGTCCATATAAAAATTTTGATCCTGATGTAGTATGCAATCTACCACATTTGGTTAAGTATTTATCTTTTAGATGGACTGTTGTGCATTAAAATTGGTTGTTGTTTTAATCATTTCTTTAACCTGCCATTTTATTGATGTTTAAATTAAAAAATAATCAGTACAACTCTGATTTCACCAAATGTGGCAATATGTGTTCTGCATTGGTTTTTGGCGCGATTGCATGTTGTATGGCAACCCTGTTGATGTTGAAAAATCTTTCGCTGGAGTTCATTGGTTCGTGCCTTGCTTTGTGTCTGAGAAGCTAGGGGGGAAAGATAAAATGGTGGAAGTTGAATTGAAGTTCGGCAAAAGGAAATATCATGGCCATCCTGTTGAGGGCAGTGGGTATTTGGAGGTGTGGAAAAAGGATCTGGGAGATTATTTTTAGTGGCTGTGCACGATAGAAGTAGGGATTTGTGATTTTATTTATTTGTGAACCATAGTATGAATTTTCTCGATAGTGTGTCTGGCTGTCATATAAATACGATAGTGATTACGTGGCGGCATGTTAAAGGCGGTATGAAATTTGTATTTCTGCTGTTCGAAAAAGCATTAATTCATGGTAAGTGCATTTTATTTTATTCTTGTTCTTATTTTGTAGAATGTTATGTTCATTGTTTTTTTAGTATGAATTTCTGTCGTTATTGTTTTTTTTTTTTTTAAATTGTTTAAAATAAATTTTAGTTATTTTGTTGATTAGTGCATACCGTCTAAATTGTGCAATTCGTAGATGTTTTTTAAAGTTGAAACAGAACTCTGTATACATGGTATTTTTTGAAATTTATTGTTGTTATGTTAATTTATTAAAGTGAGGTGTGCGTAGTTCGTAGATTCGTTTGTTGTTTAAATTGTGCAATTCGTAGATGTTTTTTTAAGTTGAAACAGGATGCTGTGTACATGGTATTCTTTGAAATTTATTGTTGTTATGTTAATTTATTAAAGTGAGGTGTGCGTAGTTCATAGATTTATTTGTTGCCTAAATTGTGCAATTCATAGATGTTTTTTTAAGTTAAAACATATTGCTGTGTACATGGACTCTTGTCAAATAATTTTGGTTAGAAACTTTGCGGTTTTGCTATCTAAATTTTTTGTTTTTGTTTCAGATTTTTAGTTTAAATTGTGTTTTCAAACCATGTTTTTGGAGACATTTTAGGCTTAAAGTTCGAAATGTAGACAAAAAATTTAGGTAGCAGTAGGGCAGCGTGGAGTTTTTTTCGCCAAACACTTTTGGCAAGAAATTTGGTGACTTGAGGGCGCATATCAGAGTAGTTCCAAATAATCTTTTAGTGGAATCGTACAAGAAATGAATAACTAAAAGCAATATATCATAAATTATATTATTTCCTTGGTAGCTTCATTGCATTTTTTTTGAAGGGGTAGACAATTAAATTTTTCATTATATTAGTAATTTAAAATTGATGCAATAAGATATTCTGGAAAGTATTGAAAAATCATGATATTTTTTAAATATCATTTTGAATTATCAAATATCATTTAATATTTATCAAAGTTTCAGAATAATTTTACAGGGAGATGATCCTGAAATGTCCAGTCTGTATATTCCATATGGAACTTGTGATGACTGTGCATTAGCTATCCTGCCTTATAAATTAAAGGAGGAAGAAATGGAAGGTCTGAATGAAGCTGCTCGCACAAAAGTCTTAAGAGCCATGAAAGTAAGTTAAAAATAAAGTCTAGGTATAATTACTACATAGTTTAATATGCAAAACATTTTCTATGATACAATTAACATTTTATAATATACATTTCAATGATTTTATTTTTAATTACTTATCACTGTATAACATTAATTAATAATGTGTAAAATCGTAATAAAAATCATATGTGATTTTTCAACATTTGCAAAAAGCATTTTTGGAAATATACACAAATTTTTAATTTTTGGTCAATTTTTTGATTGAGCATTATAAAAATGTTCTTTAGTCAAACTACTCAATTTTTTGTAATGAATGTACAAAATTATTTAATATTCATTTATACTTTTGAAATGAGTATCTTTTATCTTGATAAGTTCAATGTGAAATTTTGAAAACTAATACTGCATGAATTCTTGTATTTTATGAATGCTGCCATGTTGTAATGCTCATAATTATTTGTATAATTATTGTAATGCTCATAATTAACATGTTGTACAGTTTGTTATGAAACCTGTCATTTTTGGTTTGTGCTTATTTTTATCACATCACCCAGTTTTCTGCATTTGGAGTAAATGCTTGTTTTGTATATTTTTATATAGAGTGGTTTAAAACTATATATTAAAAATATAAAGGCTGGTAGAAGGGACCTCAATAAGCAGATTTCGTACAGGAATGTGTGTGCGGTAATGCCGCACTAAAGCACTAGCGTGTAAAGCAATATGAAACATAGGACATTGAAAACACAAGTAAAGACAAAAGAGAAAAAAATATTGACAGTTTTTAATAGGTGCTCGAAAGAGTGGCCACCAACAGCAATACAAGATTCACAGCGGCAGACCATGGATTGGCGCATATTAGAAAAGACGTTGGGCAAGTTGAGTACATGCCCAGCAGCAACAGACAAGCAGGCAATAAGAACTTCTGCAGATGTGACAGGACTCTCGTACACAAAGCTTTTAATATGACCCCAAAAGAAGAAATCCAGGCAGGTTAAATCAGCAGAATGCAGAAGCCAGGAACTGGTCCACTCCATCCTACCCAATGCTGGCCGTAGACAGCATTCAAGTGATTTCTGACGTTCCTGGAAGCATAAAACGATCTACTTGTGCTTAACTCCCAATGAAGGTGTTCGAATGTTCTATGATCCAGCTGCTTCCTATCCAGGAATCGCTCCCTGTACATCCTTTAAGCAGCTAATCTATTTTCTTGTGTAGCCTGTACATGAAATGCATGTTGGCAAGCTCCACATTGATGCATTTTGCTCGAGACCTGTGCGGAAAATGAAGAATCCAGCTTGCACAGCACTTGTATTTCTCACACTCATTAGCGCTCTCTGCCAGCTCAATGGGCATTACTACACACATATTCCTATACGAAATATGCTAACTTATGACCCCTCTACCTGCCTCTATATTTTTGGCATATACAAAGTGTGACACACACACACACACACAAAAAAAAAAAAAAAAAAAAAAAAAAAAAAACACGAGGCTGGTTCACTAAATCATTGCACTTGCAGAATCAGTTTTCCGTGACATTATCACCTTTAAAGTAGTTCCCTTCAGTAACCACACACTTCTGCATTCAGTGCTGCCATTGCTGGTAACAGTTCTGGAATGAGGTTTTTGAAAGGCCCTTCAGGAGATTCTCCGATTTTGCCTGAACCTCTTCAGCTGAGGTAAAATGTGTTTCCTTTAAGTAAGATTTAACTTTAGGAAATGAAAAAAAAGTCCCATGGAGCCAAATCAATTGAATAAGGAGGATGCTCCATCACAGTAATGTTTTTGCTGGTCAGAAACTGCTAGATAGATAGGGCTGTGTGAGTGGTGCATTGTCCTGATGCAACAGCCATCCATCACTCCAAAACTGTAGCCTTTTTTTTTTTTTTTTCTAATTTAATTTAAGTCTTTTTAGTACTTCAGTGTAGTAGTATTGATTAATAGTGTGACCACTGGAATCCATTCAATGAGGAATGGCCAAGGGGGCGCCCAGCACATTCATCATCTTCCACACTGTCACTTCCCCCTGAAAACCACCTATGCCATTCAAACACATGTGCATGAGACAAAGTTTCATCTAAGTCTCGGTTAACATTTGAAATGTTTCCTTCGTGGCTAATTTCTTAAGTTTCATAAGAAACCTGATGTTGATTTGCTGTTCGTTTTTTTACATTATTAGTTTTTTCAGCAGAATGTAGTTGCACATGTTCACTCGGTGATACAGTACTTTCCACTGACATGGACGATTAAGCTGAAATTGACATGGGCAATTAAGCCTCTATCCTGCATGGATAGAGGAGGTGTGTGACATGACATCACCAAAACAATTATTGCCAACTCCACTATGTTTTTAAACTACACACTTAGTCTCGTTTTTTTGTTTCACACTTCATAGTTTTGAACCACCCTGTGTACTACACACAGTACTGTTTCATATAACCAAATGCAATTTGAATTAAAAAAGCACACCAAATAATGATTATTGGAGGAATTAGAGCAACAGGAATCAGCTTGACTCAAGTAGCTTAATCTCCTTCCGCTCTTTCTTCTCATCTTATCTTATCACTGGCTTTTCTTTCATAATTTGCACTTCTGCAGTTGAAGAAGAAGGTTCTGTATTTAAACCTTGAAACTCGTCCTGCAAATTTATGAATATTAGGCTGATTCTTGTTGCTTTACCTCCTCCAATAACCCAAATGTAATGTCAAAGCTTACTTAAAATTAATTTGCAAAATTGAGTTAATTGAATAGGAAATACTATTGAATAATACTGAAGAATCAGAAGGCACATGCAGTTAAATTAAAATGAAAAACAAGCATTCTATGTTTGCCCATGCTAAAAACACATTTAAATATTTCCAAGAATGGAATTTTTCAAGCTGCAATTCTGCTGTGTCAATTCCAGTTTGAATGCATTTTCATGTCAAGAGTGAGTTCAAATGATAGTAACAGTTCACCTTCTTTTACAACTGTGTCAGACGTGGTTGCTTCATCTCAGTTCTAAAAAATACAGCAACCGTGCAGGAAAAAGCAGAAGGTGAACTTGATGGAGCCATCATTTGAATGCCTGCTTGTGAGAGCTCGAACCTTAATAATTTTTAAATGTGGTTCTCATTGTATAAGTCTAAACTAGTGCTTCCCTTAAAATGATATCTATATCAAAACAGTAAGTGCTAGGATGGTTTTCCAGTATATTGTAAATAAAGCCCTGTCTCAAAAATAAGCCTTAGACTGTCAGTCAGACGGACTTATTATGATATGACCAATTGGAGAACATAATGAACAGACCTGAATGCTTGGAAGGGGCTGTTACTATTTAAAATCTTTACAGTTTGGTATGCTGTGTGTTATAATGGGCATATTTAATACATTTGTTTGAATTAAAGAAATGTCTTCTAAATTTTATGTGCGCAAGTTTTTATCACTTTTGTGTGGTGCTTCATTCTTAGCAGTTTTTATTGCTACTCCTATGTCATAAACTATACACAGCCCCAGGAAAATTTGAAACATTGCAATATTGGGCGGAGGAAATTCTTCAACTATCTGTAGGAAGATGAGTTCTGTCTCTAAGAAGACTGATAACAGTATTCAAACAGGAAGATGTTGAAATTATTGAATGTGCACTTGTATTCAATCAATTTGTCGATGACATCCATTTTTAAAAAGGTCAACTGTACAATACAGTTGCTATCAATTAAAATGCAGCATTTATAGATCAGAAATCTGAAATGACAATTTATAGCTCTGTTTCATAAGATGAAAGATGCTTAAATTATTTTTCCTTCTTAGCATGCCTTCGTAGTGTAGTGGTCAGCATGCACGGTGCGTATTCGAGAGGCCCGTGGTTCGAGTCCCAGAGAAGGCGTTGCTCATTTTTCATCTCTCCTGCTTGGAAATAACCTAATGTCTCTACACACTTGCATTCAAATCTGTTGATGTCATAGATTTTTCAAAATACAAAATCTCTAATACAATTGCTCTTAATGAAACTGCAGTATTTAAAGATTAAAGATCTCAAATGAAAATTGATCAAAGGTGAATGTGTTAACTGTGTGTTGTCAATTTGTTTAGATGGAAAGAAAACTCTACATCTAGAACATAAGATTGACCAGGTTTCATGCATTCATGTGCTTAAGCCTAAAAAAAATCTAGTGCACATGAGCAGCTATTAATAGGTCAGTTCAAATACTGTCACTTGTTTTGTGAAATATTCAGAGTTCTGCTAGTCTGGGGTTCAGCCACACTAAAGACATGAAGATTTTCTTTGTAGAATTCAGAATAGACCAGGTAGTGATTTATGCAGGAATTCCTGCCTACCTGCAGATTTTTTATATTGCAATGAACAAATTCATTGAAAATTTGCACATGGAAATCAATTACTACATTAACCATAGAAGAGAAATAAATATGTGTGGACACTCTGTGAAGTGTAGCCTAGAAGCGGCCCTTAAGTGAAGAATTTGTGTTGTGTTGCTAATGGACTACAGGTTTGGTACAGGTACAAGAAGTGTTCATTTTAAGAGAGATGTATTGATAGATAAAAGAGATTAAGGGCAAGCAGTTTTACAAGAAATGGGGCCCCAAGTAATTCAGCCCAGAATTTCAAGTTTGGAGCTTTATGACTATGGGTTGGTTTATTTGATTGTGGCAAAGCACATAAGGACTTAAGGGAGTTCTGCCTTCAGAAAAGACTTTCTAAGGGAAACTTCCTTGTATCCATGTCTTGCATGAGAGAAACCATACATACCATATATACTTGCATGAGAGATACCCTTGCAGCCAACCTGTTCTCCTGAAATCAAATTACCAACGTTCAGAACTTGCAGCCAGTGGTAGGATTATGACAGTGGGGCTGGTGAAGCAATTTAACATGACCTGCAAATACATTTCAATTATATATCTGTCATAAATGCAGTGCTTATACACTTATGTCCAAAATTATGTTTACATGCATAAATTCACGGATTTCTCAGAGACTATGACTTATAATTTAATGAATTTTCGTGGAATCATACATAA